CATTACCTACAAAACCCTCTGAGTGGAGTGTCCAGAAAAGGGTTATATAAATATAAGGAAATATTATTATTAAAAAAAAATATTCTGCAGCCTCTGTGCTTGTCTTCAACATTTTCTACAGCCTTTTTTATGCCCCTGTCCTGAGCTTTACTAGGCTGGTGTTGACTGTTCTGTGGTTTGTTTTCTGCAACTGGGTGGCCCGCCTTCTATATTTTGTTCTTTGCGTGGTTTAATAACAACAAAAAAAAAAGAGCTTGGCATTTTTAAATAATTAAACCTGTCTGGCAGGAGGAGTAAACGGAGGTTTTTGAACCTCACCGTTCAAAGCTAGTTCAAGAACAACAGCGCGCCCTAGTGTCCTGTATCGGTAACTACATGAAGAGGATTTTTATTCTGCGGGCCGTGGGGATCAAAACCAGGAGCTGGGATAAAAGCTGCAAAAAGGCTTGCGTCTGTAAAAGCTCCAGCCGGTATTTCTGTGCATTGCATCAGCAGCAAACAACAAGGAAAGGCACTTTCCCAGCCCTGCAGATGGGGACATCTTAAGCAATACAATATTGATAATGCAGAAAGATGAAGGTGTGCAATACCCGAGTTGTGCGAAACCAAGGTGACGGGTTAAGAGTTTAATATGCTCTGGTGGTCCGCTAGTGAGCAGTTATACCAGTTGAATTACCCAGCCTGACAGCTGATTGCATACAGCTTACGGTCCCTCACTACTTTGAAAATGGCAGGGCATCCTTGGCAAACAACTTCCAGCCTTTCCAGTGCCCCGAGAGCTCTGCTGACTCTGACTCCCAAAGCAGGGGGCAACAGCTCTTCCATTGGCATCTCACCAGTCTTTCTCATTACCTCCCATCACCAGCTACCGCTGAGCGGAGGCCTCCGGCCAGCGACAGGTCCTCGGTCAGCCCGGCGGCTCACCTGCGAGCAGCCACTGCATCCTCTGCACGTAGCGGCGGAGCACCCTCTCCAGCTGCGCGCTGTACTCCTCCAGCTCCCGCGCCGTGAACTGCAGGTGCCGCACGATGCCCTGCGACGGCACGGCCACGGGTTCAAGAGCACAACTCCCCAGAGCCACCGCCCGGGGAGGCCCCAGGGCCTTGCGCCCTACGTGTGTGCCCAGGTGGAGGACCTGTGCGGACAGCCCCCCGCCCACATTCAGACAGATCTCTCTAGCAGGAGGCGGGCTTGTTCATGAGAATCCCTCAGTGTCACGGGTTGTTCGCTCAAGGGCAAGCTTCGGGCTGGGCTGATGGATCAATGATTCCCAGCGTGCAGTGGTATCCCATTGCAAAAGCACAGTGAATCGATCCAGTGCTGATAAAAGCACAGTCAGGTATTATAAAGTGACCCAGTCACGATCAAAGCAAAGCAGAGCATATGGGTTCATGGTTAATGCATGTTACCAAGCCGTGCTATAGCAACCCGTAGCAAAATGTGAGCTATATATGGTAAAGGCAGGGAAAAGCATTTTTGACAGCTGGTCACTTCAAGGCAGTGCAGCAGCTGCATACCCTAGAGAAACAGGCCAGTAGTCTTCCGCCAGAGCAAGGTTTCGGCACCTTAACAGGACTTACATTGACCTGGACGCTGGGGAAGATGGCGCAGTACTTTGCAGAGACCCTCTTCTGAACCGCCGGTACCAGTTTCTTCTGGTGTGTGCAGTCGGGCCCGGAGACCAGCTGGTGAAGGTCCAGCTTCAGCTTCCTGATACCGAACCTTCTCAGCCACTGCACGTCAAAAGAAGGAGACCGTGAGAAATATTATGGCAAGCCGGGTCTGGTCAGGCGGTCAGACACAGACGAAGCATGAACAAGCCCATCAGCTGATAAATATACAAAGAAAACGGGAACGGACAAACATCATGGTTCAAGGCATATAATAACTGGAACTTTCCTACAATGATGGAAATAAAAGAATAATCTAAAAAAATCTATGCTCTACAGAACTGTGTATTTAAGATATGTAAGAAAGTAAAATTTGGAGATCTCGTGTAAGTGCTGAAGGAAGCTTTTGGTTCATCCAAATGTTTGTTGTTACTGATCTGAAACGGCTTTCTTCAGGGTTTCCTAGGTGATGTTAAGACATCATGGGGAGGGATGGGCTGCTCTTATGCTGAAAGGTAGAGTCTGCAGGAAGTGACGCGATTCACACAGCTTCTCTACAATGAAAAATCACGCTTTCCAATACTACACCTGCTTGGTTGAGCAAATCTCTTCTTCTTTCGGGAGAGAAACAAAAGGGATATACTTCCTGACACTCTTTGATTTCGGATACTTCTTAAAAACCATGCCTAAAGGTAACAAAAAAAAATAAAATAAGCACCTGCACACAGAGAGACAAAACTTATCTTAGTAACTGAAGAAGTGTTCTGTGATCCCAGGGGCCAAACTGTAGCCTCCACAGGACAGGGGGGGCCCTCAGAGATGCTTACCCACGCTGTTGCCATCTTCAGTGTAAAACACGGACTGAGAGACCTTGGACCTCTTTTTCTGCTTAGCCTCAGTGTCCACTAGTGTACGGCTCTTCCCTGGCTCTGCTGCAGCACAAAACAAGACGCACTCACAAGGACTGGACTCCATTGTCCTGGGCATTTGCATACACATGTTTTTTTAGGGGCTCAGTTTGCGATCAAAGGGCAGGCTGGTGGGGGCTTGTGTCTCAGCCGCAGTCTCGTACTGTCAGCACACCAGAACTCAAAAGGGTGCAGAGAACTGCCACATAACAGGAAAAAGAACAAAGCTTTTTCACAACTTATAAAAGCAAAGCAAGGACAGGGCAACACAGGAGAGAAAGGCAAACAAAAAAGATGAATTTACAATAACCTGGGATTTCAGAATGCAGCATGGCATGGTAGTCATGTTTTATTTAAGAGACTAAGCAGAGTAACCTTGACATCTTGTGCCACACAAACTCCTTCCTTGCTTTTAAGCGACGAATCCAGGAGAGCATGACAGGAGATTTCACTTGTAGAGAGACACTTGTAATCACAGAGTGGGAGAAGTAAACAGGAACTCCTTTTGCTGTGTTTTCCCCCTCGTTTCAGACTATTCTGTGTAGATTTGTCCATTGCGATTAAATTTCCCCTGCTCTTATTAAAACTGCACTCCTCCTCACCTGGCGGGACGCCTGCTTTCGCGCTGGTTGGACGCCAGGTGAGAGCTTTCTGGGAGAAAGCGCTGTCATCTGGAGATCCCTCCTTTGCCTGCTGCAGGGACAGAACACACAACAGGCTTGGATCACGTCCCACTAACCTCACTGAAGCCAAAGGACAGCATCTCTAAAGAACTACAACTGGGGTCTCCAGGAGCTCAGTGAAGGCATCTGTTACGAGTGCAGGTTGACCCCAAAAGTGCAGACACTACTGATCCCAAACGGGCTATTATATTGACTCATAAACGCCTTCAGAATGAAAACTGGTGGAGGGATCCATACTGGAATGGGAGCATGCTTGTGTATTTCTCATCCCTCCAAAGCTGGAAAAAAGATCCTGTGAGCCTTGTCGATTAACAACAGTGCTTTTTAAAAAAAATATCACAAACAAATCAGGTAAATTAAAGAAATTAAAGGTCAGCTTAAGTAATAATCAGGATTCTGAGTCACAAGATGTATCCCTCTTCCCTTTGGCGTTGCTGACTAATCTCTGTAGTATATTTCTCCAACATTTGGACAGCACGCTCATCAATTTTCCTGCGAGAGTGTTTCATTAAATTAAAAAAAAGCCAGCCAAGCATGTCTCTCGCTCACAACATCTCTCTCCAGTCGCTGCTGCTGTGTAAGCCAAATCCTCCACTCTCGTCTCATCTGAAGTTTTGCGGGGTGACTTTTAAAGGACTGCAAAGCCGGGGCGTTTGCCGGGGGCCAGCGATGAGAGGACCCGCCCCGACAGTTCTTAAATCCCGAAAGTCACAGCGGCAGCCCTGCGCTGGTACATATTTCATCACTGATTAAAACACCGAGAGCTGAAATCTTTTAAGCCACTCTTGCATAAACTCTTAAATAACCTTGGCAGACAGTCCTTTGAGGATTTCTCTGTTGCTGTTACAACCTTTAAACTCCAATTATACTCCCCCTTCAAAGGGGGTTCCCATAAATGAAGTACCCAAATTTACCGTGCTAACTCGCATTCCACCACCCCCTTCCTGACCCCCACATACAGCCTGTTTTTTCTAGACCCATCGAAACATACTTCCGACGACCTCCTCCTTCCCCGAGAATCAGATGCTTGAGTTTTCTTCCCCACGTCCCCTAGATATGATACAAGGAAACCGTTGCAGGACAAAATTTGCCCTTGCTTTTTTTCCCCTCCTCTCACATTTATAGCCCATTTATAGTGTTTATAGCCCACACATACGCAATCACACTAATTGCTAACTGGCCATGACTTTCGTGGCTGCGCAAACCTAATTAGCAGAATGCACTGGGTTAATGACCCTGAAGGCTAGATGCCCAGATGGGTGAATTTGTCCCACCCGTCACTGGGCCACCCTCTTCAACGGGCATCAGTTCTGATCCCCAGCTGGGATCTCCCGAACGAGACGCGGATCCAGAGCTCTGCTCGGGTCGACCCGAGGCACGTCCGTGACGCGGCAGCCCAGCGACGCCCACCTCCACCCCGCGGCCCCGGTGCTCGAGTCTGAACCAGGCCATCAGCTAAAAGCCCTCGGCGATCACGAACACGAGAGGTCCCCGCGAGCAGCCTGACCATCCTGCTGAGCGAGAGTGTTGCAGGTGTGGGTGGCGCCGGGCGCCGAGGGCCGCCTCTCCCTCTCTGCTGGGGCTGGCCCTCGGGCGCGCCGGCGAGCTGCTTCCTGCCAGCCCTCTGCGTCAGGGACTCCACCAGCAGGGCACACTGCGAGAGAGAGAGAGAGAGGCATGCGCGTCAGCCGGGCCTCGGCAGCTGCAGCGCCAGCCCCGCGGGGCAGCCCGGATGCTTCCCGGCGTGAGGCCCGCTCTTGCGCCAGGCTCCCCGCAGAGCCCCGACAACGTCGCCAGCCGCGCACGCGGGACGCGGCCCGACGAGGCCTGACGAGGTCTGCCCCGCAGAGTGCAATTCACGCAAGTCATTTCACGCACAAAAGGCCAAAGCAAATGGCCTAGCACACAACCACTCCTTTTTACACACCGAAAAGCGACTGGGAAAGGCTGAAAGATTTGCAACCTAAATCTGAAATCAAAAGCAAGGCCGCAGAGCAGCACGTCGCTCAGACAAAGGAGGGGGCGAGCTGATGGCCAAATATGAGGAAGCTTTTCTGGATGGGCCCCCTTTCTAAAGTGCTTGTTAAAATCACGGATTCGGGAAGATACCAACAAGGGGTGGAGAGGTAACCCCTTGTCTCCAGAGCGACAAATTCACCTCTGCTCCTCTCCGGCGGAAGAGCACCTCTGTGCCGCAGGTGAGCGGAGGAGAAGGCCTGCTGAGAGACTCCTCAGGCCCTCGGGCCCACAGGCAGCAGAGAAAACCAGGCTGGGTCTCTCGCTCACCTTCCAGACCACCAGCAGGTTTTGTCAGCTTTCAGCTCTTCTCTTACCCACCTTGATTTGTCTTTTATACCATGTCTGTATTTCGATTAACAATGTTAATTCGTTTTTTTGTGTCACATGAGCTCTGAAACCCTTTGCATTGTCAGTGGTTCCTTCTGCAGTATTCAGCTCTGCGGGTGTAAGAAGCTGCAAGTGGCTCCTTGCCACCCACTTAATAAAACAAAGTTATTTTAGCTGAAAACACATATTGTCTGATCCAGGAAAGAAAACACAGGAATCGCAGATAAACACCTGGGAGGATTAAGAGACCATTTTTGTTAAGAAGGATGCTGACTAATTGTACTTGTCAGCCATCGAGAGATGCACCTGTCACAGCAATGCAATACCAAGCCCTCTCTTTTCAGCATGGAGTTAAATCAGGTACATTTAAGCCAACTTAATCAATGAGTCCTGACAGTTCTAGAGTCAACGGCGGGAATCGAGCTGAAAGGAGGCAGCCCCAAACACAAGGCCCTCTCCGTCCTGCAGTTATTTACAGTATTGACGGCCTTTCCAGAACTGGCACCAGAAAAAGAACCACAACTCAGACCCCCAGAGCCCCTGAAGCGTCTCTGCGTGACCCACAGGACAGTCGTGGACCACGCACCTTCTGCGAGTAATTGACAGCTCTCTCCGTCTCGGCCAGCAGGGCGGCGATGTCGTCGCTCTCCACAATGCCTGCAAGCGGAAGGGGACATGGGGAATGTGCTGGGACTGAGGCAGCGCGGGATCCGGCAGCCCAGAAAAGCAGGGAAAGCAGTTAGAGGCCCCGATCCAGGGGGGACACAGGGGTGGTGCAGAGACTTCGGGACTCTGACAGGCGCTCCAGCATGAAGTTCTATCAGATGAAGGGCCATATATTTGGCTGGGAGGAATAAACGGACATGGCACTCAATTTGTGAAATACAATCAGGAAGTCGGCCTACAGGGGTTTCAGTAAAGGACGTGATTTTGATTTGAAACGAATCTCCAGCTCGGTGGGGTCAAGTTATCTGAATTTTGGAATACAGGTGAAAATTTTAGGGACGCCATGCCATTGTTCAACAAAAACATGCAGGCCAAGACAAAAGAGCCAGGAATGAGCCTCTGTTGTTTCACTTGGCACGAGGTTCAGGGGAATGTGGAGGCCCTTGTGTGGAAGTGGGGGGCCGAGTGTCCTGATCGAGGGGCCCGTGAGCGAGAAACGCCCCGCTAGTGCGGAGAGGAAAGCCAAGCCGAGGGGCAGGAACTCCGAGGGGTCCTGGCGCTCACCCGTTTCCCTGAACCAGTGGAAGCGCCCCTGCCCGCTGTGCGCCAGGTCTCGCAGCGTGTCCGCCGTCTCGGGGGGCGTGGCGAAGCGGGGGGGCACGCACGCCGGCAGCGGGGCCCCCCCGCCGCTGAACAGACAGACGTGGAGCCGCAGGGCACCGCCGGCACAGCACTCAGACACGTAGCCACACACCGCTGCCTGCGGCACAGAGAGAGCGAGCGTCAGCTCCTCTGGGACACACGGCCTGTGCTCTGCTGCCTGGGACTCCCACAGCCCCTCGCACCTCCACAGAACACAGCGAGCTCACAGGCGGAGGCGTCCCCCTGTGAAGGCGACGCGTCCCTCGGGGGACGTGGTTCCGAATCCAGGGCTGCCTTCCCGTTTCAACGCTTCTCCCTTCCTGGATGAAGCAAGAAGTTAAAGCCACGCAAAGCTAAAACTGGAAAAGTCAACACAAGGGAAGCTTAGCCGTGCAGAATGGCAGTGGAGAGGCATTATGATTTCCAACAGGCGGCAATTCTTCCTTCAGAGGCCGACAGACATCTGGAACGATCTGTACAACCACACTGCTGGATACCAGAGTCTCTAGTATTCTTTAAAAGGGGGCAGGACAAGAATTCGGCATCCATTAGCCAGTAGCAATCAAACCAGCGAGAGAGGGCAGACTGTTCTCCTCTCGGTTGTGAGCCCTATTATATTAGACTAAGGGAAGTCTTCCCTTGTCCTTTCACCCACACCTCCTCCAGGATCTTCCTCACCACACTCACCCTCTCCTGGTCAGGCACTCCGCTGGTGAACAGGTAGATTCCCTGGGGCTCGTCTAGCGACCCCTGCAGGTCCGCTTCGACGGCGCGTCTCAGGGCGCCCAGCACATTGCGGCTTCCTGTGCACTTCAAGCCCAGCACCCACCTGCGAGAAACAACCACTAAAGCGATCGGGACACAGGAAAGAAACGGATCAGAACTCGCAGAGGTGACACACCTGCTACTGCGAGAGCCAACCGGCCTGTCGGTACCACGTTGAAGAAGTTTAAAAAGTCAACTCAGACCAACAGGACACATGTATGAACTCTTCATCTTGATTGAGAGTTTCAGACCTCTCATCAGCTGGATAGACAGGGCTCGGGGCGTCTCTGAGAAGACTCACTTCTTCAACCAGTGCTCACAACACTGTGTTTAGCTCAAAAGCTCGGGAAAATATATACAATTAAGAGGTGGGCCCTGTTCTTCAGCTGCACTGTGATCTGTGCTCTTGAGAGTCAATAACACGCACAGACATTTAACTCTTACTTCCAAGCGTCCTGGAGATTCTCCAGGGTTGGTGCGGCCATCTCATTATTCCAAGGTTGCACCTCTGTGCCAAACCTGTCAGAGAAACGAATGGTTTAAATAATAAGAAAGGCATGTGATGTGTAACAGGAAAGGCACAACATTGATTCACGCATGCACGCATATATCCCGTGCTTGCACTGAATTCCCCTTGTTAAAAGGCATGGATCCTTTTGCACATATATCTGCTTCTCCTTGAAAGAACTACAAAAGATAACCTCTCACAGATCCCTCCCTGGATTAAAGAATACTTCGAGGTGGACAGATGACAAATTTGCACTCTGGCACTGTGCCCTCTCAGGTACTGCATATATATATATAGATGCGTGTATGTATTAAAATAATAAATTATGGTGAGGTTTGCACATCCTTGCGACTCCCATAATTAAGTCTTACCGTTTCATCCGCACTCAGGACAAGATGGCTTTATTAATGTGCACGGTCCCTGTACTGGACGGGATCCATACATTTCCCTCGCCCCGTTTTCGCGCTTCTGACTCGTTTGAGCAGCAAGTGCAGAGAGTACCAGGACTGCGACATTACAGCTGTGTAACTGGGATAAATGCCCAGATCAGCAGTGCTATGAATAGATTCTCAGCAACTGAGTCAGGAAGAAACAGCCTTCTTAAAAATAAAACACACACACGGCAGGCACATTCTTTCCCTACGGTGGGCTCCATCTGAAAAGAGTCTTTTTTTCCTGTGTCTACTGTACATCAGTGTCTGGGGTCCCTGGGTTTCAGACGTGGGGCTCGACAGAAGGAGATTGGAAACGATCAGTCGGGATTTCGGTGTTTTGGTCCGGACATGCTGCCTGTGTCACTGTGTTTGCTCTCTCTCTCTCTGCCCTGTGAGTTTCATGGGGTTCCGCTGCGTGTCTCCAGGCCAGCCTATGGCTCCCCCACACTACAGCGCTGTGGAGCTTGGGAGAGGTACCATGGCCAGGACTGTGGGATGCGGAAAAATATAAGGCAATCCTTTTACAGCCCCCTGTAAATGGAATTCAGTTTTACAATGCCACCATTCACAAAGCCCTGACACACTGGCCATTATCAGGATTTGCTGTATGTAGAGAATGAGCTTTGTTCTTAAGCCAGCAACATCTGCCCTTTCTATTCACTACAGTGAATCAGTGAGCAGTGAGCAGTTCCTAGGGCACAGCCCTGTCCCTGTCTGGGATGGGCTTGGGACACACAAATGCTAGCACCGCAATGGGAATAAAAAGGCAAGGCAAGTACGTTACTTTCAGTATTAACCAATATTCACAGACTGCATCTGTACACAACTGCGCTGAAGAGTGATAAACATTGCTTGTTAAAGTGCATTTATCTGACAGCTGCTCCAAGCTGTCGTACTCTTCACTCATCCTAGTAAGTCTGCAGAACTCTAGTGAAGTAGCAATTCTAAAATCCAGCAGACTGGTGTTCATGTCTGCCACTGGTTTTCTAGGTGAAGGGACAAAGCCAGGCCTTTTGGGATGGGATGACATATAAAAAGACTTTGAGCTTTATGCAAACAGAGGAGGCCCGTACGTGATGATGTTGAAGCTCTCCTTGTCGGCCATCTGTTGCTCCAGCAGCAGGCGCAGGGAATGCTGGATGTGGACGAGGTACAGCGAGTTCATCAGGGAGACATCCACCAGGACAGTCACTCTGGGGAGAGAGGTGAGCCTTCAGGACTAATGAGTCAGTATCCAGAGACTAATTAGTGCCTTGTGTGGGCGGGGGTGTTTCACTGAAAAGAAAAACAACAAGGTCTGCACCGAGGAAAATTAACTCAGGAAACATTTCCTGACACAGGATCATCCTCCTGGGAAACAAAGCAAGAGATTCCTCCAGAAGCTTTCAGCCTCGAGAGATATGGGGAGGGAGCTGAACATCACAAACAAATAAGCATTAAAACAGCTTTTTTTGTGTGGATGGTGTGTGTACCAAGGTCAGTGCGATTGCATCTATTCAAAGCAGCGAGGAAAATTCAATGCACCAGTTCTCCTTTGTCTTCTATTGCTTCCACACAGCAAAAAGAAAAACGTGACACTAAGATCAAGTTAATCAGGGCTCTTGTGTGGCTCAGCTAGCGCGCCCTGCTGCAGGGCACCGAGGGGCCTAGCAGCGGGAAACCTGGCGGGTGTGCTTCAAAAGGAAGAAAAGACAACCCAGCGACTCCCAGTCACACGCTTCCTCGCTGCCGATCGCCGCAGCGTTTGCAAACCAGAGCTCTTGCCTCTGCTCACACACGTTGCCCCAGATCTGCCTGCTTCCTGTGGTCAGCCACTCCACCCTGCGTTCCAGCATCAGCACCGCACTGGCAAGCTGCCTCTGCACAGAGGGAATCGGGGGGAAAAAGGAAAGAGAAGAGGGAGAGAGAGAAAGCAAGAGCAATCTTCAGGGTCACGGCCAAAAGACCACTAGCTCCTTACAGGTAATGGGGACTCCCCTCCACCACCACCAGTGTGCAGCATCCACCTCTTTATCCAACACAGGGTCACGGGGGAGCTGGAGCCTATCCCAGCAGTCAACAGACCCAAGGCAGGGTACAGCCTGGATGGGATGCCAGTCCATCGCAGGGCACACACAGACAAAACCCACACACACACCAGGACCAGTTTCCCCAGAAGCCGATGAACCCACCATCATCCCTTTGGACTGTGGGAGGAAACAGGAGCATCCAGAGGAAAACCCATGAGAACACAGGGAGAACTTGCAAACTCCCCACAGACAGCACCCCAGGAACTGAACCCAGGGCCCCGGCGCTGTGTGGAAGCAATGCTCACCGCTGCACTACCATGCCGTCTGTGTACCATATTACTCAGTGAACCTTTATATTAACAATGAAAACAGTGCAAGGGCATTTAAAAGGGAAAACAGGAGGCACTTCCTTATGCGTAGGGGTTTGGGAGTGTGGCTACCTAGCTGCTGATGTAGCTGATACCCTGGTTTCTATCAAGACACAGCCGGATTAGATCCTTGGATCAGTTACTAACTTCCCAAGGGGCTAATCGTGATGAATGGCCTCCTCTGCTCTGTCACCTCTCTCGCCTTCCTACCTGGTAGTTGTACAACAAAGGCGGGTCCACGTGCACGTTTTTCACCGTCCCATCATGCCACTCAAACTGCACCATGGCTTTCTAGAGAGAACCGCCAGCGTTAGTCGCTAAGCAGACAAAATATCCCTAAAACATTTAAGTTGTGTGATAAAGTAATCAGGCTCTGGGCTACTAGACAGGATGTTTCTGGATTACAGGCTGAAAAAAATTGAATCATTTTGAGGGAGACTTGTGAACATTTTATCACTTTTGGAAAACAGGCTTGATGTCGTGTTTTATGGAAAAGGTGATATTTAAATGTGAGAAACGAGTTGAAACCTCACGACCCTCACTGACAGGGTACTGAGCAGTAATAACAGGATGAGTCATATGCGTGGCACTGAGATGCTGGAGGCCTGTGTGTCTGAATTAGACAGGATGCTTTAGCACAACACAAAGAGGGTAATTATGTCAGGAATGCATTAAAACTCCCTCCTACTAATGTATCAGGAAACATGCTGAGTACTTCAGGACAGTACCGCATGCTCACTGAACAGCCTCAAGACGGCCCTTCCAGACAGAGGAGCAAGATATCCTGGCAGAGACAAATTTCAGCTGCCACAACAACAGAAGACTAAACCTGATTTATAAACAAAAATCACACTGTGCACAGCAAAAAAGAATTAAACCCACTGGAAAAACGCTGAAAGTGTTTTAATCAAAAGAGTGAATGGAGAACAAATATTTGCTTGCAGCAACAATAAAGCACAAACTGTTTTTATATTAACAGGATACTACAATGTTGTTTGAGAAGCAGCCTGTGTTTTCCAGTTTTGGATTAGTTTAATATCAGTCGTTGTTCGTTCTTGAAAAATACACATGCAGAAAAAAGCAGAGGTGTTTGGTCAGGGACAGAACAAATGTGCTGCATTTTTCTCATCGCAGGAGAATGGTAATTTGGCAAACTGACAGACAAGCAGACAGATTCGTCTCTGGGGAGATACTTTATTAACATCCTGTTCAGATACTACAACAGCAAAATACAATACACATAAAAACATGCAGATTTTATATAAAATATTTCTGTTTTGGGTTTCTCACCTCGTGCAGTGTGGAGGTGACAGTCTTCCTCAGAACGGGCACAAACTCCTCCAGCAGCGAATAAGCATTCGGCGCAAGAACCTGGTACAGGCTGAGTTTCTTTGCTGTCAGTTTGTATTAGTAGGGGGAAAAAAAACACAGTTTGCAAAGACACAACTTGAAATTTGATTTATTTCATAATTTGAGTGTGCAGATATTGCCTACCTTTCAGCCCATTGCTCTTCAGCCAATCAGCAGAGGTCTTAGGCAGGAAGTTCTGCCTCTCGATGCTGAGCGGCCCACAGTGATTGGGCGGTTTGGGGAGGAAGTGAGAAGGAGGCAACTCTGCTACCTCTAAAGAAATCTACCAGAAAAATAAATCAGCGCATTGCATCCCAGAAAGAAATAAATTAGGAAAATGTTTCATTTTCTGGATTCAGACTTCAGTAGAAAAAGAATAACAATATCCCTGTTATTTACAGTATAATTCGATTTAAAAACTTTTAATGATGAAAATGGAAGGAGTTAAACTGGGACTGCATTCCTTGTTGAAAATAACATTCACAACTATCAATCATTTTTCAAATGTAGAATAAAACAAATTACAAAGAAAGTCGCGGGCCTCAAAAATACGTGACCGAACCAACGAACGAGTTCTTCCGATAATGGTGACGTCTCTTACCTTCTGCATAACGGAGACGAACGTGTCTCCCAGTAGGCCTTGACGCATTTCCTTTATCTTGCTCAGCAGATCCATGGCTTTCTGGGTCTCTCTCTGCAGGAGGGCGATGTCAGAGCTGCTGTAGATCGCACCCTGACTCATGTGGAGAAAGGGACATGGAAGCCATGAGCGCTGTTCCACAGAACGACAACTAAACTGCTCTGAACTAAACTGCACTCTGAAGTGCTCCTGCTGCCGCGGCTGGATCGGATCGGGCAAGACCGGTGCCGCCCCGCGGGCAGAGCCATGCACAGTCCGTGTCTAGGGGTCCGGGCAGCCCTGCACGCTCTCCCCTGCCTGCCGCCAGTCCCTGGACACTTCACACTCTGATACCCCCGCGCTTTTTAAACAAATAACCTTTCAATTTACAATTCATTCCAAAGGGCGGAGAAATATTAGCTCCAGGGTGCTTGAGCAGAAAGCTCTTTGATGCTGTCAAGGGCCTGCCAGAGTAGCATACGCCTTCACAGACCTCGAGTCACTTTACCGTACATCAGCTTCATGAGAAAAAAGCATCTTAAGTACGGACTTTACTCCCAGAAATCTAATGGCAGATAAACAACCGTTCTTACGAGCTGTCATTCCGTGTTTCCTGGATTCTGTGATGGATTATTGGAATACCAAGCCTCTCTTCCATGATCTTGCAAGACATTCAGGTCAACAGGAAAGGCTAGGCCCTGCACGAGGGGTGCTACTCCACCTGCCTCCGACATCAGTGCTTTTAAGCGCTTTGAACAGCCACCTTTAAAGGAGCTATATAAAATAAAGTTTTATTATAATCATCATCAGCAGCAGCAGCTGTCCTGCCCTTTTCCCCGTTTCCATACACCCCACATCTCAGAGATCTCAGATTCCCACGGATCCTCTGGGAACCAGCGGAAATCCCTGGGGCAAGTGAGGGGCTCAGATGTTTCTTCCGGGCACGTCTCTTGCTCAGATAAGAAGGGGTTTCGGGATTTTAGTGCTAATTCCCCTTTGCCAGCCCAGCTCCTGGAAAGACAGTGTTAGCAGAAGGGCCTGGTGACAAAACACAGGCGACGCAGCCGTCAGAAAAGAGGTGGAATACCCCTTCAAAAAAACATCTCCTTCACGTTTCGGGATAGGAGACGACTAGCGTACTTGGGGACAAATCCTCCCGAGATTTCTGACAGGCTCTTGGTGTGTCGTGCAGGGTTGTGTCTTGTAATCTCCCTGCTTTGAGCCTGTGTGTGCCAGACCTTGTGGATAATGAGTCCCCTGTTGGAGGGTGGAAGTCGTTACCTGCCTGTCAGACGAGTAGCAGTGAAAACGCCCCCCAGAGGCTTCGGCAAGGTTCTTCAATGCCATCTGAAACAGGGAGGAAGCACACAGGCACGTCTCGTATGTAATAAGCCAACACCATGCAGGGCAAATATTTCCAGCCAGCAATCACAGACCTCTGTCCTGTGTGCACATATCTACACATCGTACCTGGTGACTTTTTTAAATTAAAATCTGCATTTGATTGCTCATGTTGGAAGCTGTCTCTGACCAGGGGTCTCCCCCCAGCAGAAAGCACAGTGGTAAAACTGACACTGGTGGCTGGGAGCAATAGGATCTGCATGGGCCTCCTCACATTGCCAAGCAACAGTGACTTCTGGGACCGACCTGGTGCCTGCACGTGTGCAGCGTTATCAGTGAGAGATCAGATGTTGCTCTGATCGGTAATATAGATGAGATGAATATGGATGAGTGGGAGGGTAGGCAAGTTGCACGTGCTCTCTGAGCAAAGCAAGAAACAAAGCTGGGAATAACTACTCCCCGAGACAGAGATGTAAAATAGAAGAAACAGTGATTCCAATTTTAAACAGTTTCAGAACCGCCTGTTCTATCAGGGGCCATGTGATCTACTCACGTGGGTCATGGGATGGCCATTGTCGTATGCGACTGCATGAACGGGCAAGGTCCTTCCCAGCAGGCACTGCTTGACGTAAGCAAGCAGGACATCAGCCGGCTGGTCGGGGCTGGAACGGGCAAACGGACACAGAACGCGTTCAGCTCGCGCAGGCCCGAGTGCGACGGAGCCGGGGCGTGAGACCAGAAGCATTAGGAAAGCGCGGCGTGACCCTGGACTGCAACGCAATCTGAAGGTTATCTGTGGGAAACAGGCGTCCACACCTGCCGGTTTTCCATCCCTGGGGATGTCAGAATGTTTTACGGGGCACAAGGAGGTGCCCTTACTGGAGCGCACACAGATGGTAATATAGTGCATGATGTCAAAGGAGAATCTGTCGCAGGCAGGGAACACGTACTACAACCTGCCTCACAGCGAGCGAATTCCTTGTGCCTCGCACAGGGCCACAGTCACGCTGTACTGGATGCTGAGGAAAGGGGAAGTGGCCCACTGTGAGGAGATCGATGAGCTGAGTGACCTTCCCGTCACTCGGTGATCAGTGGCGGGGCAGTAACAGGCCCCTCGACCAGCGCTCAGAGCTCAGAGCTCAGCGCAGGGACGGTCATTACCAGGAGCCGAGGACGACGAGCAGTGAGCTGAGGTCTTCGCGGCCCAGGGCCTTCTTCACCGCGCCCAGGAGATTGCAGCCCCCGCTGCCCCCCAGCTGCTGCACCCACTGCCGGGCCTGGTGGAGCCTGCGACACACGGGGATGAGAACAGTGAAGCCACCCGCCGACACAGAGCACTGGTGAAACACGTGCACACACTCAGTTCAAACACGCACACACACACTTGGTGCCTTGATTTCTGATGCACGGATAGTGCATTTGTTTGTTATCATTCAAGAATCGTTTCAAATAATTTTGGTTATCTGGAAGTGGACACCCCCCCCCTCCATACTTACATAACTGTGGAAAAGACACTGAGAGGAACTGAACATTGTTCCAACTGGACAGCATCTCCAACAGTTCTGTTTTACAGTCGTGATTTTTAATAGCAAGGGCATCAAGACACACCAACACTGTCTAAAATACTATATTTGGAGCTGTGCATTTTCAGTAAAAGATTCTTAGTGTGGTATCCTGGTGAAACAAAGAATACTGATATAGTTTGGTACTTTAAACAACAACAATAATACATGCATTTGTGCACCGCTTTTCATCTCCAGTGATCTCAAGGCACTTCACAGTACGATGGTCCTTCTGCACCAGCAGTCTCCCCTGGGAGACAACAGCAGCCAATTCAGCCCCGCTGCACAGCAGATCAGCCGGAGAAGTGAGAACTTCACCTTAGTGAATTAAGGGGAAGAATGAGTCAGAAGGTGGACAGTCTGTACTGGTCAGACTGTGGGTTAAGTGTAGGGAACCCCTGAGAGTTTAGCTGGACTAAGATGCAAAAAATTGCCTCTGGCTGATTCATGCCTATGGGGCTTTTTCTTCTTGGAGTACAGCAGCACCTGCTGAACTTTGCTCCTGTCTTACAAGTTTTGTCTTTTGGCTCTGGAAAAGAACACAGAACACAGAAGCAGAGACCCACACACACCCACACAAACACCGAGGGCTGATCTGCTCAACAGCGCACGCATGATACAAAATAAATTTGCCAACCCCAGTCAGAGTCAGAGGACAGGGAGATGAACGAATGTAAGAAGAGGGGATTTGCGATGTTCTGAAACCATTTATTAATCTCCGGCCTGAGCAGTTTAAAACTTTTTTTTTCCGGGCTTTTTGATTTTCCAAATCAAATCAACAACTCTTCTGCAAAAGGAAATCAAGCCAACAAGTATCTCTTTCATCACAGACTCACCTTCAATTGGACCGTTAAAATCACCCGATAGTTTTATTTGATTTTTAGCTAATTTGTATTTGATTGTTTTATTTATTGTTTTCTGTTTCATTATGTTTTTTGCAGACCTTACATCCATTGTTAATGTGAATTTATTTTTATGTAATGCAATGTGAGCTGCTTTAGGACTGAAAGGCACTATACAAATAAAGATGATAACGGTGATTATTATTACTATTATTAATAAATAACAGTGAATCACTACCATAAAGCAGAGATATAGACACCACAGATTACAGCCCAGTGTTTGTAAGAATGTAAGAATGAACTACAGTCCATAGAGAGCCTGGGACTGCACACAGCCACACTGAGAGAGCTCTCTTTGTATAGAAGATCTGGGAATTGTTCTTCCCATCTCCCCAGAGCCCCAGGATGACCAAAAAGGCGAGCCCACCCACCTGCGCAGGTTGACGTCTCTCGGGCTGTCCCACAGCAGGCTCTCCTGGGTGCCGAAGGAGAGCAAATACAGCTGTTTCTTGTAGCACAGCTGCTCATCCAGGAGACACTGGGAAGAAGCCCGAGAGAATCACCACCAGACCGAATAACATTTCTGTAATTGTATGTCTAATTTTTAAGGAAGAAATGTGCAATGTTTGTTAGCCATTGAAGAGTGTAACACTGCGGGAAGCTAACAACATATTTCCCTACACATATGCACTTCCCTTATATTTCCCATATCCATATTCGAACCGGCAGCCCTCCAGCCACAGGCGCAGACTCACCGCTCCGCCCAACAGCAGGGCTGTCCAGCAATGCCACCCCTGCGGCTGGCAGGGAGACCTGCCCCACTTACCAAGAGGTGCTTCTGAAACTCCTGCAGCCGTCCCGACTCGCAGTTGGCGTCAGACGCGTCGATGAGCACACCCACCCGGGATCCCTTCACCAGCCCGAACACCTGCCGAATCAAGAGCACACGGTGACGCCCGCGGAGGGGGGCACCCGAAAATCACCCACAAACCGGAAACCGGAAGCGTGCAAATATGAGCCCACAGATGCAGACCCTGGTTGGGGGGGGGGGCGTTCACAAATGAAGGAGAAACTGGGAAAAAGCTAATGCCATTCCGGGGAGGCGAGTGGAAAATCAAGAGGAAAGAGGCTGGCAACCACCCGGAGTGCTTGGACAGCGACTGTTCCTCCTGGGTTGTCTCGGTGTGTCGTGTGGCGACCAGGCTGGTAGCCTGCAGGGGTTGCAGGGCTCCACTGGCATCCCCAGGCTGGCTTTCGCCCAGCCCGCCACTTGAGTCAAACAGATACGCCGCGGCGCTCCCTTTTAAACCAGACATCCCGGCTGCATAAGAGCCTCAAGTGCCTCAAGCCCTGCATTTCCAATGTGAAGATACAGCCCGTCACGAAAACAGACTATGGAAAGAAAATGCCAGATAACCAGTGTGAGGGTGGTAATGAAGAGCTGAGCCCACCAGAGGGAGGGAGACGCAGAGTGCTCCTGCCGTCACAACGGCCGCTGACAGCACCCTGCCCCTCCTGTGTGCGCCGAGCGATACGCGCACAGCACTCTGCCGCAGCTGTCGCCCTGCAGGAGGAGGTTAACAGCTTATCTCTTTTAACTGCGCCTGTCAGCACTCCTATTTTACCAGCCACACGCTATCGGCAGATAATGTGAAAATGGATCACGGAGAAAGCAAAACAGCATGCAATTCGCACCTTCGGTTTCAGAACTAAGTTGTGAGGCTCATCCCCTGTTGCACTGTGTTATTAAACCCCCAACGTGGTGCTTGTGCTCTGAAGGGTTTAAAAGCTCCTGCAGGGAGCCAGGAAAGCACTCTTGCTCCTGCTCTCACTCCGGTCTGGGGTCCAATGTCACGCAGCACTTGCAGAGCTAAACTGCCGCTGTAGACGAAGCCCTGGGCTTCATGCAAAGGTTTAAATTACCTTTCGACTGCCTTCCATGAGCCAGCTCATCCTGCGGTGGTACAGCTCAATCATTCTGGAAGAAACAGGGGCAGGACAGGGAAAACTTTCACATTTCTTGACAGGGAAAAGAAAGGAAAGAAAACAACACAACTGTATGTAATAATCCGCGATCTGTATCAGGGTCAGAGCAGAGCAGAATAAAGCAGAACGGTTCGTCAGTTCGGCCCCTGCGACCCCAGCGCCTAGTGTAAAGGGTCAGAGATGTCCGTCTTTAGCCCTGAGATGGGACAGGAAAGTCTCCTCTTGTCTTACGGCCCACAACACACACACCCTCCACTGGCACAAGGTAAGCGCTCCTAGTCTGTCGCTGGAGAAATCTGCACTCACTCGAACAGCCTGGACTCGAACGCCTCGATCGTGCTGGCGCTGAACTCCATCTGGCTCCTCGCGCCTCGCCCGGCGGCCCTGCAGACAACACACAAGCAGCATGTGCCAACGCAGGTCACTGGGGGAAGCAGGCGGGGGCGCAGAGCATCATTGAGAGGAACGGGAATTCAAACGCTGGGGTGATTCTAAAAACTGAGCCCCTTTTACTTCCTTATCATTAAGGAAATGTATTTTACATATACAGTATAGATTTTTTTACGTACAGATTTCTTTCAAAGGGAATAACAAGAAAAATCCACAGGAACCCCACTCCTCCTCTACCCCATTTATCACTGTCTGGTGAGCAATGACAGATCTCCTTGGGAAAGCAGGCCAGCACACTCCAGTGGCGAGGCACGCACGGACCGTGGGGCACCTGACGCTGGGAAGGAAGGCTTCACACATGCCGAGCATTTCCAGAAGGAAAAAAAAAACCAACAACCCCAAAACAAAAGCTTTTACGTAAGCTGCTGAACGAACAGGAACACGCTGGCGAGCGTGACACTTACACAACGGTTTTGCCTTGAGTGAGGAGGTGTGAAATCGTCAGCCCTGCGCTCTCCAGACTGTGGTTGCTAAGCCACTCCTCGGACGCCTGCCCCTCGCTGGCGCCGGCTCTCCGCCCTTGGGCTCTCTGGAGTTAAGCAGTAGGCAGTCGTGATCAGCAGCCTGTCAGGAAGCTCAGGCGCAGTGTTCACCTGCTGCACAGGGACTTATATGTACAACTACACAAACCTCACCTAGCAGAAAACAATAAATACTTATTTTGTTCAAAGACATTTCTTTTCTTACATTTTTCACTCTTGCAGTTTATCATCTCCTTAGGGTGTCAGATAAGTAATTTTGCAAGGATAGTGTACAAATTCCCATCAGAGGCACGGCTGATAAAATGGAATAATGTGTCTTTATCGTGTTGCAATTTCCTCCACTGCTTCATTGAACAGACACTGAGCTGACAAAGAAACACTGCAGCAGAGTCTGACCTGGAGTGTCTCTCCAGGTTCTGTGACAGAGCACTAGCGCCTCACAAAAGAGCTTTGAAGGTCAACCAGGAGAAAAAAAAAACTAGCAGCACACACACATGCGCACACACACACACAGACGATTTCAGCTAAAACAATATTTCAGTGAAAAGGAAAGGAGCTTAAAGGTATAAATGAAAGAATGAGGTGTGTAGCTATATAAACAAGAATTAAAAAGAAAAAATTCTGATGGATATTTTTTCCTCATTCAGCTGTTTGCAATAACCACTTAGTCTAAGAGAGAGCAGCACTAGACCAGACTTTAACCCCAGCTGACAATGTGCATAAGACAGGACATATCTGAGTCTGGAAGTCAGTCTATCGCAGAGCACACATGCCCTCGCACAGAAGGGGCATCAGGCAGGAACCCAGGACCCAACAGCTGTGAGGCATCAGCGCTAGCTTACATGCCAGTTTGCTGTTCTTTTCATTTTCAGGGCAGAGAGAAATCAAATCTCGGCTGTATCACCTGCACTGATTAAAGGCAGGGTCACTGCAAGTTATTACCTTTGACAGAAAATGCAGCTCAATCTGCCCAGAGCAGAGGGGAGCACCCTACTGTCTCCGGCATGGCAAAGTCCCCTTGGGAATGTAAGTAAATAATCCTTACACTTCTACAGCACTTTTCTGGACACTCCACTCAAAGCACTTCACAAGTAACAGGACTCCCCTCCACCACCACCAGTGTGCAACAGCGCCAGTCCACACACCAGTGGGGAGGAGAGCAGAGTGATGAAGCCAGTTCAGAGAAGGAAATCATATAGAAGGGCATGACTGGTAAAGGCCAGAGGGAAATCCGGCCAGGATTTCCCTCTGGGGTAGCACCCCTGCTCTTCTTGAGAAACACCCTGGGATTTTAATTGACCACGGAGAGTCAGGACCTCGGTTTTAAAACTCATCTGCAGGACAGGGCCTTTTTTACAACATAGTGTCCCTGTCACTGTACTGAGGCATTAGGATCTACACAGACCGTGGGGTGAGCGCCCCCTACTGGCCCCACTCACACTCTTCCGGCCATTCCGGGGCTTTCCCAGGAGTCTCCCATCCAGGTACTGGCCAGGCTCACACTTGCTGAGCTCCAGTGGGCTGCCAGTTGTGCGCTGTAAGCTGCAGGGTGATATATCTGCTGGTAATGTGGGAGTGCCCTGTTGGCCAGGGTTTCTGGTTCACAGCCAGGGTGTGCTAGTGACTGACTGTGACTGTGGCAGGGGTGGGGTGGAGCCAGCTGCAGGCTGTTCAGCTCTCTGCGACCCCAGTGACCCCATTCAGACACTTGTGGGAGTGGACACTGTCACCTTGAGCTGTGTGAGCTGTGTGCATGTGCCCTGACCTCTACCAGGTTTGGGAAGAGTGGAAGCCGTTGGCATTGGGCTACTCAGCACACAGCCCTGTCCCATTAAAAACAGACCAATACTTGCACCCCAGTTTGCATCAGCTGGAGGCATGGCTGACCGTGTGATGGCTGAGCCTAGGTTATCAGGCACGGATGTGTTTGTGTCTCCTCTGTCTTGTGCTTGCTGTTTTCAGTATAATTCGACTGCCTCTGCAACAGGGCTCTCTAACCAGTGATTCTAACCGAAAACAGAAGAAGATAATGGAACAGACTATTGTCCCAATATCTGTTCTAAAAAAAATAACCAAGCAAAAAAACTAAAAAAAAAAAAAAACTTTAAAACCTGCCACTGCTGTTTTTTCTTGCCAGAAAATGAATCTGCTGCCCAGGATTCCTGCTTACTTCACAGCACTCAGTCTAAACAGCTTCAGAATGCAGGGAATCTGATAGCAAATGCTGTGCTGAAACAGAATACAAATGTTGAATCATCTCAAATCACTTTTTAGGTAATTGAATCAATGAAAAAAAGCACTTCCAGCACTCTCTTCTGTCTTCCTCCATAACCAAGCGGAACAAAGCACACAAAACAGTTCACAGTCACTGACGTCAGTGCCTGGACGTCAGTGCGATAAGGACTTACCAGCAGGTCCAGGGTCTGGTTGACGTGGGTGACCAGCAGGCCGCTATCTGGCTCACTGTGAGGAAGGACACTGTCCTGCCAGGATGGCCGGCTCTTCAGGGGCTCTCTGTCGGAGCTGGGCTCTGAACTGCGGGCCGACAGTTGTTACTAAGCAGACACCTCACCCTGAGACAGTTCTCCTCCCGTACCCCTCCTTGTTAAGAATGAAATTTATCCCCATGCCCTCTCACACACGCCAAGCACAACAACACAATTCATGCGAGCATGACGCCGTCCACAGTTCAGGGAAGCATCCAGTTTCCCAAGTCTGGTGAAAAAAAAAGAAACAAGCTACAAAGAAAAAGCCCAGCTAGAAAATGCAAAACTATAACAGAGCTACCAACCGCTACCAACAAAAAAATCAATCTGAGCATGCATATGGAATACAGAATAAATTACTGGAAGAGAACTAACTAACTGGGATTGGTTTTATTAGTCTAGCACTACCTAGGGTTGGATGGTGAAGGAATTTATTGGAAGAACAAAACAATGAAAACCAGCTGGACCACTGCATGCGGTTACCAGTCAAACTTGCGAGCCTTCAACTTCAACAGGCGGACACTTACAGCGCGCCGGTCAGGAAGCGCTCATCGCCCAGGATCTCGGCCATGCTGGAGCTGCCCTGGTTGTTCATGGCGATGGGGCCTGCCACTGGCCCGAGCAGAGCTACAGTCAGAGAAGAAATAGCAAGCCCATGCAGGTTATTGACTTCTGCTTTTGTGTAATGAATATATATTGATTTTGAACAGATTAACGGCTGCCCACCCACAATCCATCAATGCCCACAGCATATCAGCAGGCAAAGGTGTTGCAAGCGGGCTGGAGAACTGGAAATAATTCATGAGAGAGCTTAGAGAAAGCAGGTCAATACCCCCCCATCCCACTTGCGGCGCGATGTCATAAACAGACGCCGGAAAGCCGTATCCATATCATGAAAAACTCAGGCGTCCCAGAGCAGCACACGGGTCAGGGAGGAATGAAGATCCGAGACAAGTCCCGCCAGGAACATCCCCGCCACCCGGCTGGTCAGGCGGGCCGCCGCGCGTCACCATGACAGCACCGCCAGAGCACCGCCACATCAAGGCAAAGCCACGGTTAGGGCGAACACGGATAACGCAGGGTGGAAATACACCGGATGAGTGCAGCAGGGCTTTCAATGGAGTGAATCACGCAATGAGCCACCTCACTGCAGGCAGACACACCAGCAGTTCCAGGTGCCAAGCAGCTGTCACAGCCTGTAGGTCCGTTATCCCACTGTTTTTCTTCCCTGCATCACCTGTTTCAGACTATATCGTGTTCCTTACAGTCGGGAAGCTTTTCATCCAGACAGTCTGGACAATCTTCCAGAATCCTGATGATTTTTCCCTCTTCTCAAAGTCAGAACTGCTTTTTTTTTCCCACTTGAATGTTATTTAACTTGTTGTTGTTGTTGTTGTTGTTGTTGTTGTTGTTGTTGTTGTTGCTGCTGCAGCTGTTCTGTGTTTCTGTTTTTGGTGTTTCCTTAATGTCTTTGTATGGGAGCCTACGTGCAAGTAAGCATTTCATTGCGCTGGTGCAGGTGATCCCGGCCGTTCAAAGCCTCCACCTCCACAATCACATCTGTAATTAAACCAGCACCCCTGCAGGACCTTTCTTTAACATGTAAACAGCAGGCAGCTTACTCTGTGTTTGCTGCTAGGAGGATCTGAGACAGAGGAACTCTGCTTGAGGGAGGGCTCAGCTATACAGCACAGTAGCAATACTGCACTGTATGGTTTTGCTGAAGCTGAAAGAAAAATGAGACACCCGCTGAAGTCTGTGGATGACTGTTAACAATGCGCTTGAACAGTAACACAGGCCTTTCTGGGAACAGCCCGGAGCTCTGAAACCCTGACACACACGAAGAGATTTCTCCTTTAAATGTATTCATGGGTCAAGAGGAGACACATCCGTCATTATGTGGTAGAATCACGCCACCTATTAATGGGCTTAGTGAAGGACCTTCCATTTGCAACAACGTATATTTATAGAATATCTAAAATGCAACTGCAAAATAACAGCAAAGTTTGAAAGTTTCACGACAGTTAAGTTAATAACACAGAGAACCAGCCTTACCGGCCCTGCTGTCAGTATGTTCGGATGTCGCCTTTAACCCTTCCTTCCCATTAAAAGCGTGTTTCCCCCATAAACCTCTTTGGAGAAGAGACAAAGAGCGTAACACGATCGAGTTTGTTTTATATTTTTTTTTTTTAAAAAGTATTTTTCCTAATAAAGCCTGTAGGTGAGTTGGCTCAGCCACCTCTTCGTCACTCACCGGAGCCCAAGCGCGCTTCCCGTCACCAAGGCGACGGAATGGTCCACTTTCACACGCACAAACACGGCGTAACAGATTCATAATGATCACGGAGAAAACCGCCTTAAGAAATGCAGCTTGATCTGGAGTAAGATACACACATAAAGCAATGACAAAGATCGGTAAATTTAGCCCAGACAGCGTGTTTGGTGAACAACATCCGGATGGTGAATCTACCTGCGGCGTCTTGCAATGGAGCGGTCTGAGTACATATTTCTGACCCCGGAGGCCGACCGAAGAGGTGTTGGTCATTTTGAGAGCAGATAATCATCATACTTATTCAGAATAGCGCTTTTCGTTTTCCAGAACTGATTCTTTTGTCAGTGATAGAAGTTAAATACCAAGGAGTTTACGATACCTATGTTTTTTAAGCAAGAAATAAATTCCTACACACCCCCTTATTCTCTTATCTTTCCGCGTTGCAAAGAAACGTGTATTAGATATATCTTAACAGAAATCATCATATTATGTTGAGCTGGATTTGTATCCCAGCTGAGAAATTATTTAAAAATTACTCTCTGTGAGGGTGGCATGGTGGGACAGTGGTCAGCACTTCTGCCTTGCAGCATGGGAGCCCTGGGTTCAATTCTGGTTCTGAGGTGCTGTCTGTGTGGAGTGTGCATGTTCTCCTCAAGTTTGTGTGTGTTTCCACTGGGAGCTCTGGTTTCCTCCCACAGTCCAAAGACATGCTGGTGGGTTAAGTGGCTCTGGTGTGAGTGTGTGTCTCTGTGTTTTCACTGTGATGGACTGGTGTCCTGTGCAGGGTGTGTGAGTGTGTGTGCCCTGTAATGGACTGATGTCCTGTCCAGGGTGTGTGAGTGTATGATGGACTGGTGTCCTGTCCCGGGTGTGTGAGTGTGTGTGCCCTGTGATGGACTGGTGTCCTGTCTCGGGCGTACCCTCCAGCTCTCTAGCAGCCCAGGACTGGAAGAAGCGGATCGTGGATCGTGGATGGAGGTTTGGACGGTATCTCAGTATTGGCTTGAGATCTTGAGAGAACTTCCCTCCGTTAATCACATGTGTGAACCGCGCAGCCTCACCCACCCTGCGGAGACACAGATCCTTCAGCTCAGCTTGGATCCTGGCTGTAAGGACCGTGTCTGCTGTCTGCTTGACTGAGCGCCGCTCCAGGGCCGAGATCAGGCGTCCGGTTCTTCAAACAAGCAGACTATTTCCTTTGCGGACTCTGGCTTTATTCTTTTTTAATTCGAAAGAAAAAAATGTTTTTTAATTCAGAAGCTCGGACCTGCCACATGCAGCTTCGTATGGAAGCTACACAGTATGTGTCTGTATACCTTCTGAAAACAATGAAGTAGCCCCCCAGAAAGAAGAGGGCAATATGGTGAGGGTACACAATGCAACCAGCCTGGTCTGTGGTCATTTGACACCTAGGCGATTATCGTCTGCAGCATTTTAAAGGAGGTACAGATGGTCACACACAAACACAAAAGAAACCAAAGTCTGTGTTGAAAACAGACGTCTAACAGTGCGCTGCAGGTTGTAACTCCAGTGTGTGAGGCAGTAGCGAGGAAGGGCGGCTCACGGTCGGTGTGGGGATGCGATTATCAGGAGCGCAACTTAACCCACAGTGATGGGCATCTGTCATGCATGTTGAAGTCTCAGACCCAGTTCTGCACAGATACTGTAGAACAGAAGGCCAGGCGAGCTCATTCGTCTTTCTGGCGGAGGTGCAATGAATGAGGCCGCTTGTTGCCTGTGCAGATGAGGTCAGGCCCCTGGCGTGACTCGATCACAAAGGGCGGTGTTGTCTGGGAGCGTGACGCGTCGTCTCGGAGTGGCAATCTGACTCGCGGAGGCTTGGAAAAGCCGTCCGCACACCCCCGGACAAAAGGGTTTCTGTGCGCAATGAGGAGCCGTGTAAAATAAAGGTTGTGTGACGCCTGGGGGTGTTTTTTTCCTCCGGAGTCCGATCGTTGTGTTGAGGAATGACAATATCATAAGACTCATTATTATACAACCAGAAACCAGAGTTATGCAAAAAGGACGTTTGTCTCCCCGATTTTCTACAGCTAACCCAACAACATCCTTCGGTTTCTAACCTCCTCCTCCAGTGTAGGACAGGTCCCGCACTTCCAGAGCAGGACCGGTCTTAGAGACATGGATCACCCGCCTCACGGCCTGGCTGCGGCCCCGGAGCAGCGAGGAAATGACCAGACTGAGATGTCCGGACTTCTTATTGATTCTGTCTCATCGCCGCCCGCGGCGGACAGCTGTAACGACTGGGGATGGGGCTGACAGGCAGGCACGAGGCTGGTTCTTTATCCCAAATCTCTCAAACTAGCGTGCGCTGCAGGCCTCTGACTGTTATTCGTGCAGTTGTGCTGCATCCTTTATGTTGTGTGTAATACAGGCTTGGGGATGCTCTAATACAGCTCCAGTGACGTTGATAGCTTGGATCTTATGCAAGTAAAGCAAGCAGTGGGCTCTGCATGGGGAGACACGGTGACGTAATAATTTGTGTTCCTGCCTCCCAGCTCTTAAGTCATGGATCTGAGTCCAGACAGGAGCACCTTCTGAGTGGAGTTGGCATGGGCTTTCTCCAAGTACAGTACTCCAGCTTTCCTCCACCTGCCAAAGACATGATGGCTGTGTTAATTAGTGTGTCTGTGCTCCTCGTTTATTTATTAGCGTATTGCTCATTCACTCTCCCGGTGCTGCCTGTGCTCACCGGCACCCCTCTGTCCCCCTCCAGCCCCACACTGGAGCTCCTCTGCGGGCTGCCAGCTGCCGGGGCAGGAGCTGCGTCGCGCCTGCCTGATCCCCACCGGCATGGCCACCCTCTCCGAACCAGGCTGACCGAGCCGTGGTCAAATAGCCCTGACCCTACACTGCAGTTCTGCTGTGTGTGAACCCCGGGCTCCATCATGTATTGTGCAATACCCTTGTGCTCCCTGGGAGAAACTAGGAAAAGTTTGTTCCCTTTCCATGGAGCTCTGCAGACTCGTATCCTGTTGTTGCCCTGTGGGGAGCTGCACACTGCTGCTCACTCGCTGGAGTCCTGGGAGGAAGAGGAGGGGCTGGGTGTATTTATAGCCAAGAGCCGCACATGGTCTCAGCAGGAGCAGACTGATTGTTCTTACTGACACCATTATTTATCCTTTCAATTAAAGCGGACTCTCGCTCCCCTTGAAGGCCAGCGCAGTGTCCTGTCTCCCTGTGCGCAGGCACTGACGTGGGGTTTCAAAGGCAGGCTGAAACCCGGACAACACAGGAAGCAACTCAAGCAGGGGGTGAGGCGTCTGAGCCGACAGCCAGAAAATGCACTTTAAAGACTTGTTCTTCTTACTCTCCGCTTTGTCCCTGAGAAACTGAACATCTAATTTTAAACGCAGAAGCTGAGAACAGGACTACGAGCCGAAATTCACAGTATAATTTCCTGTGCGGGCAAAACAGCATCAGCCCAGAATAAAAAATGTTATTTTTTTTGGGGGGGGGGGGGCACACACTATTGGGAAATTGTACGATGAATAAAGAAATACAGTTGAAAATCATGCAGATGTCTGCTGAGTCTTGCGTTTTGTTTCTGTGCCACAAGAAAAGTTCATTACTGAGTGACCTATATTTTAAGTGAATTAGAATATATAGATATGAATATTATTAACTCACAGGTTGTTAAAAAGGAAGCAGCTATGTTAATTTACTTATGTCTGCTTAGCAGAGCAACAGGCGAGTAGAGTGGTTTAACACATTCCAGGATACAGCATAAAAACACAATTGTAGGGGAACAACAACCGACACAACCTGTGAAGTTTCAAGAAAAAGAGCCCACCTGGACCCTCTAGCTCATTCGTTTGCTCTCAGTGAAGTGATCTGGGGATCTTGTCCAGCTTCTGTCAGTGTCAGCTTTCACAACATGGTAAGAGGGTTGGGTAGAGGGTTCCAGACACCCGCAACTCTTTGTGTAAAAAGTGCCTCTGTCACGAACGGGGCTCAGCCTTCTGCGGGGGGCTGCTGATGAGACCCTATGCGGTGCGGTGCAACCCGGGACCAACAGGGGGCGGACATGAGGGGCAACACACAGGGGTTCACCCGCGAAGGCAGCGCTCAGTGACAACAGCTGCTCCGGCGGACAGGGGAAAACCAGGCAGCCAGGTGCCAGCGAAGCCATGATGGGGGTACGTCCGGGCGCAGTCCAGTAATCCATCCAGCCAGACGGACACAGGGAAATCGGGAACAGTCCCGAGAACACGCGGGACGCCGTCCTCCGGACCCCCGGGCTCGGGGGGCGTGATGCCTCTGGCAAGGCCTGTGCCCTCAGACGACTCGCAGGCCCCTGGACATCCGTGTCCCAACGCCGAGCTCCGAGCAGCTCTGCGCTTATAGATCAACACTGATTCTGAACACCTGGGAATAATACAGCAATCCAACTAGGACTCGGGCATGTGGAGCGCCCCCTAGGGGAAAGGATGCTAGACACTCCCTATCCTAGCTCTGAATACACTTCAGCAGTGTCCACTGGTGTCCTCCGGGCCGCGTTTCACCACTGAGGCCGAAGAAGTTGTCTAGTTCAGGAGGAAAACAGCTCTGTTCTTGTTCTTTGAGTCTGTCAGAGTTGGGCATTCCTTCGAGCCCAGGAATGTATCTGGTCGCATTTCTCTGGCCAGAATCCAGCATCTTTTTTATAATGCGGTGAACAAAATTGTACACATTATTTTAAATTAGATTCAGCTAGAACATTGTAGAGCTGAAGCGCAACGTCCCATGATTTAAATTTAAACCGTTAACTCGGTGCCCTGACAGTTTGCCCCTTTTTTTACTTCCCCGCATTGCCTGGAATATGAAAAATATTTTCCAAGTGACGGAAAAAGAGATGAGTTTTCTTTCTGAAGGTCTGAGCATTGTTGGTGGTGCTGAAATCAGACCTTTGGGAGAAGTTGGAGTTCCCGGTGTTACTTTTGACCCTGTATGTGAGGTGCATGTTAGGAACAT